TATTTATTTGTCAGAGAGAGAGAGAGAGAGAGCAAGCACAGGCAGACAGAGTGGCAGGCAGAGGCAGAGGGAGAAGCAGGCTCCCTGCCGAGCAAGGAGCCCGATGCGGGACTCAATCCCAGGACGCTGGGATCATGACCTGAGCCGAAGGCAGCTGCTTAACCAACTGAGCCACCCAGGTGTCCCGAGCTTCTCTTTTAAAAAATCAGAATTTCTGGGGCGCCTGGGTGGCTCAGTGGGTTAAAGCCTCTGCCTTTGGCTCAGGTCATGATCCCAGGGTCCTGGGATTGAGCCCTGCAGTGGGCTCTCTGCTCAGTGGGGTGCCTGCTTCCTCCTCTCTCTCTGCCTGCCTCTCTGCCTACTTGTGATCTCTGTCAAATAAATAAATAAAATCTTAAAAAAGAAAATCAGAATTTCTGGCCGCATGAGACCATTTCCTGGAGCTCGGTAGTGGCTGCTGCACCGTGGACAGGGTACACCTGCTCATTCACTCCAGTTCACCCAGACCAGCTTGTCCTCAAGCCCAGAGGACCCAGCTCCAGCCAGGCCACCGGGCCCACCCCAGGCTCAGCGTTCCCACGACAAAGTCCTGCCGCGTGCGGCCACTAGGTGGCAGCTCTCCCTCCTTGTTATCTTGCGATCAGTTCCCTAAGCAAGTGACTCCAAGAAGGTCGCTGCTGGGGAAACTCAGCAGGGCTTCCGATGAGCCTGCAGGACAGTCAGGTTGCTGCCTAGTTGCCTGTGCATGGGCCCTGGTGCACGAGCAAGCAGGGGCACGTATGGCGGGCTGGACAGGGTGTGAGCGTGGGTCCCCATCCTGCCCACCTCCTGAGCTATGCAAAGCCTCTGCCTTTCCCTGGGCCACTCTGTGCCTCTGTGAAATGAGTATGGTCACTTCTAGGTTCTGCCCTGTGAGCCAGAATGAGATGCAGAGAGGGTTGGTCTATCAACTGATGAAAGGCCAGTGACCGCCCCACCTTGAACACAGTCCTGGTCCTGAGAGCACCTTCCCAGCTCCTGGGGCGGGGGGGGGGGGCCCCCCCCCACTGCTTCTCCCTTATGGGAGCACACAGCAAGTGCCAGCTGCTGCCCAGCCTGATTATGAGCCCCTCCACTTCCCCCCCCCCCCCACCTCCCAGGGAGGGAAGGGGTCGAAGGGAACAG